TAACATTGTTCGATTGAAAAAGTCGTGGATTGTCATCGAATGGGAGGCATGGCATTTCTAGTGCCCCTGATTTTTTTGAACAAAATGTGACCTGTGCTTTTAAATCACTGATTTTACCAACGGGCTTTCCTTATCAAACGGTGAGGAAACTTTCCGCTTTCATGTGTGTAAATGGCCAGTTTTTGTTTTATTCATTTTCCGCTTTTTTCTTTTCCCGCCATTGATTTCCTCGCTGTCTCCCACTCTTTCTTTTCTTTCCGTTTCTTTCTTTTCTCATTTGTTTTTTCGTTCCTTTCTTTGTTTTCCTTTCTTGATTGGGGCTGCACTTCAAAGGGTAAAGCTGTTGGCGTTGATCAATCCCTGAGAGATGCGACATTCCTTCGACTTTATTAAGTATCGTTTGGAGGTGATTTAATGCAAATCTGGCCTTTACATTGACTCGCGGTGGCCTACCGATGTATCGAGCCACTGCTGCTATCCTCCTAGACAAGTCTGGTACCAATTAGCCGACCCCGGAGGGATGCAAGGCTTGGTGGCACATGGGCGCGAAGACCGATTCCACGTGTGTGTTGCAGGGCGCCTCCGACCACTGCGCCACACGCTCCGTAAGTTCTTATTACAAAAAAAAAGAAATTACGATACCATGGCATTTATTTTTTTATTAATTCTATTTTTTTCTATTAGCGGTTTATACAATTTTGCTCGACCTATGACCCACTTTCAAAAAAGTGGCGCTTCGAAAACGAATTTTATTTAACTGGTATTTGAGTGCATGTACAGGAATTTTTTTCCTGGGATCCCAGAATATACCGCGCCAGGGGATCCGCAAAATATCAGCACAGGCAGTCTTTGTTTTTTATAGGTCGGAGTTAGGTTTCTTTTTAAATAGGTATCTTTCAGAAACTAGCAAGTTCTTTGCTGTGAGCTGTATTCCAAATGAGAATGCCTTACGCTTGCATTCTGATTTTGGCTGATGGCGCTAGAGGAATAAACCTTTCCCATATCGTTGTATTTCCGACACTTTGTACTGGTTTTACTACTATGGGTTTATATGGTTGAAATCCGATAATATAAGAATAGATAACGTGACTTCATCGGCTCACCTGAAGCATGCCTGAAACGTGTTGTTCAGCGAAAGGTATACATCATCATATTTTCCCATGTATTTTCCTTCTGGTTTCCGTATTCCCATAGGAAACAGGAAGTGCTTTCTCCATACATCGTCTGCCTAAAACTCTTGAGGCTTTAGAGGAAGAAACAGTGGGGGATTTCAGGAAGAAGATGCTGAGAAATTGAAGTTACACGGAAAGGGAAAGAGGAAATATTTGTAAGTACATATTCGTTACAATCCGAAGATTAAGTATTACATTGGTTTTTTTGAATTATAAAAGTCTGCAAAGTGGTAGCGTTTTTATTGCCGAAAAATCTGATTTTGGTCCGTCATCTTCAAAATTCCAAGTTTGAAGGGCTCACGAAATAGTCAGAATCGATGTCCTTCCTCATAATCAGATAAAAAGTAAACAAACAAACAGTAGAGAACATAAAAACATTTCTATCATAAAAAAGAGCAATTCGAGCAAATGCTGAAGCATTGAGGTCAAATGACAATATGAGTAAAAACTATTGACATGTTTTTTGGACTATAAAAGATCCTATAAATGCTAATTCAACAAAAATCTTAAGATGTAAATACGATAACGTAGAGGAAATTAGGAATAAACAAAGGAAGACATATCTGTATATATTTTTTTTTACGAACTGCCCTTTTTTAGCCGAGACGAGGTTGGTATAGACGTTCTCATTGTTCTTCATGTCTTTGTTCAATGGCCGACGTTTAGGTGACTTCGCCTTCTTCAGAGCCTTGCAGTTGGACGACCCGTGTGTTGTCCACGAGGTATGAAGGACGGGGTCGAACTTTTTCGATCCTAGTGAACACACGAGTGATCCAGCGGCAAGGATCTGCGGATGACGAAGTCGCCGGAACGTCAGTTATTGAACCAAGACAACAAGAACAGCAAAGACATCGATACCAACCTCGCGTCAGCTAGAAAGAGGCAAGAGGTAAGAACGTATATACAGATGTATCGATTATTATGCCGTGGTTCACAGAGGGTCGATCTTTTGAGTTAATAAGGAAAGGACGAGTACAATGAGGCAAAGCGTGGGGAAAATGAAAAAAATGCTCTTACTGCGATTCGAATTCCTTCCTCGATTCCACCACATCCTTGTAGAACTTCTTTTCGATACAAGTAGGAAGCAATGATTGAACTAAACGAGAACTTGAAAAATAGTAACTCATTTCTTTAACCAATCGAAAAAACTCAAATCGTTCGAATAACTCTCAACTGTACCTGTGTAGTCGTACGCCTGTTTTTCTGAGCGCTTCCGATCTGACCAGTCGTCCGAGTTTCACTATCCAATTAAACTCGTCAATATGTGAGGCAATGTTTTCCGCATCCTCGTCTAATGTGAAACTCTGACGGGCTATTACATAACAGTGTGCTGAATTGTTTTTTTAAGGTGTAGTCGGTTATATATGCTATGTGTTATGTTCCTGTTGGAACCGTTGAGGCGCATGTAGTACAGTGGTTCGATGTGCCGTTCAATACACATCGTCTTTGGTTCGAAGTAGGTATAGGTCAACTCCAAATCATTTACGTTTTTATCAATTACTGCTTGAATAATTGTTCATTAGAGCAAAGCAACTCCGCTCCTGGGTAGTTAGATCACTCCTTGGTGAAATGTTTACCATCGACAATCGTCGACTTATGTTAAAATGATATAGGATTCACTGTTGCTCTATTTGTTGGGTTAATGAGGCCATAGTCGTTTATTCCCTTGTCACTTTGTCCTTGCTCCCTTCTTACTGGATTGAATCAATTCAGGCTTAGATTTAATATTTATTTTGGAGATCAGTCAGCAATAAGGCTTGAGAGAAACGTGACATGAGCTCAATCCCGAGTTTTCATTCAGTACGTATCAGTTAATGAGTAGAAAAAAAGATGTGTCATGTAAATAGCCCTCTTCCGAATAAAGTCTTAAAGCCTTCTAAAACTTAAGAGTCCCAAACAAACCAGAATTCCGCTCTTATGTGTAGAGTGCAAGAGTTGTTGTTTTCAACGCAATTTTCTTGAAAAAAGACAGGACCGAAGCGTGGTTGTCATCCGCGTTTATGAACCTCCCATAAAAACGAACCAGTTGACAGGAATTAATCAGTATCGCTTGTTATTTGTTAGGCAGGAAAGCTGCTCTGTGAGCTTCGCTCTCTCAAGGGACACCGGTTGCAACCTTTCCCATGAGCTCAACTATGCTTGATTTTTTGTGCTCGTAAGAAGCATGTGAAAGTTTCTAGAAGTAGATGTGGACCTTATTTATTATTGGTCTACGACACCAAGTGTCTCTTCTATATATTTTCAATCATTACACCTTTCTGCTTTTTATGATGAAGCATAAGAAAATATGATAAGAAGATATTCATATGGCAAAACAAGAAGGGATCCATAAAGTGATGGCTAGCAGTTGGTGCAAGTCCACAGTTCTCTAATTCCTTGTTCATATGCGGATGCCCACCAACACGCTCTGCGGGAAAGTGATCTGCTTTCATCTTTTCTTCTGCTATTACCGCTGTCACATTTTCTCCGACTTTGGTCATTGAACAGCGTAGAGTTCTGGGCATGCGCCAAGGACAGGAACCATCACTTCATAGAATCCCTCATGTTTTGCTACATGGATATAATAACTTTATTTTATTGCAGGTTTCGACGCTAAATCGGCACATAAGGGTCCATTTTCAAACACACAGCATACAAACGCTTCAATACTATCTGCAGTTGGAAGGCATAGACGAACTTCGAACCAGTGAGAGGAAGATACCATTTCCTAAATACTAGTTCCCACATGGGGCAACAATACTTCGCATTGGCGTCATGTGTGAGAGATCCATGCAGTGCAAAGTATGACGGAAATGATTCAGAGCATTGTTCAGTATCATGTACATATTAAATTCTTTTGCGTTATGGATTGGTTAAAACGATGACTTTGGATGCAGTCAACAGTTCAGGGTTGCCAGAAGCAAAGGCAGTTCTATTCCTGTCATGATTTTCTATCAATCAACTGAAAAATATAGTGAAAATGATCTTGATTAGCCATAGTTGCATCGCAAAACCTAGATATTTTGAAATTCTGCGCAAGAACTAATTATGCGAATCCTGTGTAAACCTCTTCTTCTTAGCCAACCTTCTCTTCGTTGGGCTGGAACATTTCCATCACAACTTGTCCAGTGATCCCAGCGAAGTTCGATGTCAAGACCCGGATCAAATAATGAATTCGTTAACTGCACTGGTGGGATATTCACTCTGGAAATGAGATAATAAAATTTTTTGACCAAAATTCTTTTCTCTTTCTGACATGGTTCTCTGCATTTTGGATGGTTTTTGGTCAAAAAACCTTTGCTTTATACGAACGACTTATAGCATTAACCTGCAATAGTCAGGATTACATTTATTCGAATTCTTGTCATAAATTGAGCTTGAAAATGGCATTCTCTAAACATGAAATATCAGTTTGGTTTTTTTTATTATATACATTGAAATAGTAAGCAGATTTTTAAAAAATCAGTGGTGGAAAGAACACCTCTTTCCAACGGTCTACCGCCTCATCGTGGCTGGGAGGTGTTCCTGGTTGTCGGACTGCGATGTACAGCAGGAGATTCATCAGTCGGCAGGGTTTTCCAAGCTGAGAAGATGCTCTGCGCTTCCATCAGGAAGCCCAGCCAAGACTAAACCAATACCAGGATTCACCACCGTCTTGGTATCAAAGTCACATTATGGCAAATTTCCCTATGATCCACAAGGGCTGCGACTACCCGTGGTGGTAAAGACCTAGTGCAGACTTTTGCCAGGTTGCCCTCGGGATTTCAGGGAACCACAATGGCTTAACCAGCAAATCACCGAAGAATGGTGATTATGCTGGAGCCCGCACAATAAGTGAGGACGGGTCGTTCAAGTATCAAGTAGAAAGAACACCTTATAACTGGCACAGCGAGTGCCTTTTACGCAGTGAGAAGGTTTGTAGTCGCGAAATGTAGGTAGAAAACGAAATCGCCAATTAAATGACGGCTCGATGTGCATATGCTTTTCATTATCGCAACTGTCACCTAAACGTTGATGCTTGAGAGGATGATACAGTAACCGTAACTTTACATCGATGTAATTTCTGTACAAAAATCTTTTCCTGCGGACAAATGTTAATCTTACTGATCAGAATCTATGTTTTGTATGGACTGGATATACACCATAGTTAGCTGAATAAGGAATGAAGAAGAGATCTAGTAAAGAAAGGAAAGCGAAAGACTTTCTAGGGCACTGTTTTCGTCATAGTGGCCAAGCATCAGGCAATGCATATCTGTATGAACTTGGCATTTCTACACATATTTTGCACAAGACGAATATTGTTAACGAAGGACGAGATGGAATAAAACCAACTGTAGAGGCGTGCACTATCACCATATAATCTGTCGTAATCGTAAATCGAAACCGGTGGTGTCATAGCCAATACGACAAAAAATAGATTCGTATTGCTAATTGATTGTTCATCATAACAGAAATAGATTCCTTGAGAACTAGGATTTGCCTGAAAGAAATTTTATTGAACCCAAATGTCATAGAGCAGGCTCTCGTACATGATTGGTCGCCACCAGTAACGATTCGAGTCCACCAATAACAAGTTAATGGATGATTGCACGTAATATTATCAACCGATATTTTGTTTTTGACTACTATAAATGTTCACATTTTTATACCAACCACCCAACTAGGCTAAAGTTTGTTAGTTGCTGCCACGACCGACTTTCTATTATCCTCGGCATTGATCAAGTGGTTTTTCGTATTTTTGTTGAGCAAACGCGAGGTGTTACTATTCTTTGTTCACGATTAAGCTGACGTTTCGGCGGATTTCGCCTTCTTCAGAGCCTGGAAAGGTCAAGTTGATAGCAATCCACTCGGCCAGACGCCTCCATAACCAAACAAAGAAACTCCAAACCAAGATTTCAATCACTTTGAACACAGCTTTGCACACTCACCGCATTCTATGAGGTTTCCACTAAGTATGTCACGTAGAGACCAACCGCACAGAAATCACGTGGAAGTATAATGTGCCCCTCACATCAGAAAAGCAGTTTTATATACTGCCCTATATCACGCGTGATAATGAGGCATTCTTTCCTGCGGTTCATTTTCGGATTTCTGGAATTAATCCAGAGTGCCTCGAGAGTTTTTCGCGCCTGTGTTCTTGATTCGCGTGCAAGGATCGTGACACATACTTCGAAGTCGTCCCCGTTATGTCTCTGGGTCCTATGCGTGCCTAGCGGGGTATTTGGTCTATTTTTGCCGGCTAGGTGTTCTTTCATGCGGACACAGAGGGTTTGTTAGTTGCGCTACTCGTAAAGATATGCCTTGATTTCAATGCATTCACTGTTGGAAATAATTTAGCCTTTGAACTTTAAACAAGCACATATTTCAACTCGTGTTATACCTTACCAGGTAAAACAGAAATGATAGCATTTCTTAGTTTTTTGGCACCCACTAGAATGAAAGATAGAACACTCGACGTTAATCAGTTTCTGAGAGATGCGTCATGCATTCGACTTCATTAAACATCGTTTAGAGTTGATTGCTTGGATATTTAGTCTATATAATGACTCATGGTGGCCCACCGATGTAACGATCCAGTGCTACTACCCTCCCATGTAAGTCTGCTACTAATTTACCAGCCTCAGAGGGATAGAAGCCCTAGCGACCCGGGGCGCAGGATCGCATTCATATATATTGCAGGACGCCTCTAGCCACTGCGCTACACGCTTCTCTATCTAATATAATATGACGAAGGAAATCTGATTCACTGGTTTTTTACTTGCGCCTAAAAATTTTTGTTATTTTCGGCAGTAGAGCAGTATATCAGACGCAACGAAACTTTGCTTGCTGAGATTTTCTAGTGAAATTATTTCATCAGTATTGGTTGTTACTTTCAAGTTTTTCTGCAATGAGTAATACTGACACCACCATCTCGTTCTCTTTTTCATTTGTATTTTGATGTTTTGAAAAGTTTACACCTAAAATATACCTCTCACTCTATTCCTAAATTTTTCTATCTCAATAATGATTATCCTTCCAACGATTTATCGCCTCATCGTGGCTGGGAGGTGTTCCTGCGTGTTGGGCTGCGATGTACAGCGGAGAAATTCATCTCCTTGGCAGAGTCTACCAATCTGAGAAGGAGTTCAGCTTTTCCATCAGGCAGCTCTGCTAAGAGTAAACCAAGACTAGGATCCAACAGCGTCCTGGAATCAAATTAGTTGCATGGTTGCAAATCTCGCTCTGATCCGTCAGGGCCATGAATGCCTGTCATGGTGACGACCTGGGGCAGACTTTGGCCTGACTGTCCACGGGATTCGAGGAAACCACAGTGGCTAAAGCAGAAAACTCCGAAAAATGGAGATTATGCTGAGGCCCGCACAACCAGGCGGACGTGCTATCCAAGTAGGTGTCCAAAGTGATGATGATTATTACTATAAGGTTGCCTTAACACGTTTTAATTTTACTCCGAATAGAAACGGCAAAATTAGTGGAATAGTGAAATTTTGTGGGTGAAATAGTTAGGTTTTATGCATGAGTTGAAATACTACCATAGTTCTTCATTACTTTAATACAATTATTTGAGATTACCTGGCAGATTTCGAATTGATGAAGGGTGTTAACAATGAATATTGCCACTAACTAATGTTTTGGTTTGTATGTTCATGCAACTCCTAGCTTAACGTGCTTCTTCTCAAATCTAGTGAATTTACAAGCACACTTACTCGGATTATAGACAGCTTTCCATCTCTTTGTAAAAAAACTGGATGTGGTAACGGTGGAGAGCTTGAGCTATCTGGACCAAGGTGCACCATTTTGAACGTGGTTTTTTTGTCCTCTTGTAAAGGTTGTGTTCTACTAAGTCTAAAATTTCACAGATGGAATTACCAAAAACTCGGCTCAAAAAAATTTTTATTACAGCATCTATGTATATTTAGTGTCTTGTAGTGATAATAGTTGTGAACTACCGCACAGATCCCGTGTTTCCTTCTCTTGCCAATGTCAAACCAGGTGACAGTAGGTTCGTTTTTCTGGGAGCGTCAAACAAAAGGCAAGGTTTCGCAATAAAGTATCATTGCCTAGCATAAATATGATTCTAAGAATTATTCTCTAACTCACATAGGCAGACGCCTGCTTTTCATTACGATATGTGTACTTAATGTCAATGTTCTATGTGAAAATAACTGCTTATGTAGTTGTGTATAGAGGTGATAGGTCAAGTCAGATTGCATGTGGTTTTCTTGCTGCTAGTTTTTCTCCAGCTAAAGAAAAGGAAAACGAACATCCAATAAGAATGTGAATATTATTTTAATTGAGGAGGTTCCATCATAGTGCCGATTCTTGCGGTTGTGTGCTAGAATCTGCTGCGCATAAGTCAATGCACAAGATCCTCCCACTTGTTCAGTCCAGTTTAAGTTCTTCGTCAAAATAAGATCAATATCTTCAATTATTGCTAATCCAAATGTGCTGCTAATCAGGACGTTGTTTTAATAAGGCGGGGTAGGGAGCTCACAAAAAAGTCCAACAAATCTATAGCACGCGACTGCAATATTGCCGTTGGAAGGGCAGTTAATGGAAAACACTAGTGAGAAAGTCCGTAAATAATGTAATTAATGGTCGAAGCGATAGTGAAAGGTAAGGTTAGAAAGGCAAAACGGATTGAAGAATTGGGAAAGGAAAAGTCATAAATAACGTTTCTTACAGTGAGTCTTCAAGTTGCGTCGGGTTGCTCACTTCTTCATAGAGATCTTTTCGAGTCATCACATTAAGCTAAAAAATATTACTAACATAATGTAAACATAGTATAATACAATATTAACTTCTTTATAGCACAACAGTAAATTTCGTTGATGTAGGTGGATGGATCGTTCTGAACGCATAGATATTTGGTATGGTCCATTGCTGTTAGATGAGTGAAATTGATTCTAGAGTTCTGAGGCTAATTTTAAATACATACAGTGCTTTGGAATATTAAGGTCTCTATATTTCAGTAATCTTATCAAAGCGATATTTCTGCAATTTCTGCTCCAAACTTAGTTGACGGCAATGTGATCTATGTGTGGTTTTCCTATTCAAGTCCTTATGTGCATCTATGTGTTATATAATTGATCCACATTTTTTACTGTGGACCTATACATATGTGTGTATATATATGCATACAAATGTATATATATATATACATATACGTTGTCTAACAGCATATATATATATATGTATATATACATGCTTACTTACTTGGATACTTGGCCCATCTTCACTGGTTTTGCGGACCCCGGCATAATTTCCATTCTACAAAGATTTGCTGGTTAAGCAATGGTGGTTGACTGGAGTCTCGAGAACGGCTTGGTTAAAGTCTGCCACACGTCGTCACCACCACAGGCAGTAGCAGCCCTTTTGGATCAGCGGAAGATTTGCCACCATGCGACTAGTTTGATATCAGGACGGTGGTGAATCTTCGTTCACATTGGTTAACTATTAGTCCCCCCCCTTAACTCCTAACTCTTCCTGTTGAAACCGACGCACTCCTTCTCAGGTTTGCAGATCCTGCCGGAAGGATGAAACACCCTGCTGTACACCGCGGCCCGACACTCGGGAAACACTTCCCGGCCACGATGAGGCGGCACAGCTTTGATATTATATATATATATATATATATATATATATATG